GCTACACTGACTCGCTGTACCATCTTGTGGATTAATATGGTATTACATGAGATTACAGCCCCGTCCCAGTTCAACTTTAGTCGATATCTCAGCAACACATAACATCACAGCCGCTGTTTCTTCACACTGTAATGGTATTTTAGGTCATGTAGATTTAGCCAAACAGAAAATGTTGACTTTAAGCCCTAAATTAGTAAACCATGACTTCAAACGTCAAACCATCTCTTTTTCATGAATTGTAATTTTGGTGACAGATAAAAACATTCTTATGAAAGTAGCTTTGAAATTAATTAATATTAAATTATTAATAATAATTATTAAAATATTAATAAAGAAAATCAGCTGCAGTGTTAGTAGGATGGTGTTGAACGCTGGAAAGCATGCAGCTATTTTAATCTCGTCTTTTTAATAAGCATGTAGGGCGGCCGTTGCGCTGAAACACTTTCTTGCAGAGGTGTCATGTCAGCTGCTGAATTTGCAGAGCTAAAGAAGAAAAAAGTGAGAAAAGTCACAGGATCCTGTGAAATGATCTTGTGAAACCCAGGCCTCTGAAAACAGAAGAATGTTTGAATGTTTATGAACCAACTACAGGGTCCTAAAATAAGAAACCGACTGAACACAATCTGCCTTAACCTCTTAAGCCCCAACGCCCCCTGATACGGGGGCAAAAGGCAGGAAATCAGTTAGGCTTGGGGCTTAAGAGGTTAAAAAGGTCATTAACAAGTTACATCAAAGGAAAACACCTGGCACGATAACAGGTCTGCGTGTAGAGCAGCCCCTGCACCGCATGCTGCTATTTTCTGATGCAGCTCAATGCTCCGACAGCTCGTCCTTGTAAAAGACGATCATTAGGCGACAACCGGCTCCACTGTTCCTCTTAGCTGACACGGTGACGATGTTCCTGGCTGATCTTACAGGCCATTAAAGACACCCAGCTCCTCCCTGAAACACTCTGATGAAACACAGCCTTAACTTGTAGAGAGGCCAAAGCATACCTGAATTCATATCTGAGCAAAAACAGCCGCTTCTAATTTGACTGTTCAATTTGTTATTGCAAGATGAAAGAAATGTCAGCATGTGGGGTTTCCAGACAATAAGGCCGTTATTGTTTGTTTTTTAGGTGGTGGACAGTCTGCACTGGTGGTTAGCTACACACAAGGAAGTTACACATTTTCCCCTTATTAACATGTTCACTGTCACATAGAGCCATTAATGTGTCACACTCTCATAATTCCCACCAGCAACTGTACGAACAGGCCGGCGTTAACTTTGACAGATATTAGGAAGCACAAAAGGCCATCAAGACTACCAACAGGCTACAATGACGCTACATTTTTTTAAGGATCATATTATTTTAATTTAAAGACAATAACATCTCTTTTATATCCAAAATCCAGAATACTCATCACATATGTATGGGCATGTAATAATAATGATAATTCCAACAGGGCTTTAATAATTCACGGCTGTGTACCATGCAGGGTTTGGTTTGTCCCTCCTTTTGAATTAACAATAAGACAATAACGATATTTCATGTGCTGCAGCTGCAGCTTTGTTTTTTATTGCTTTTAATGGTTTTAAAGAACAAAATGTTGAAATAAGGCAGCAGTTCTTTTACTGACTTCCCAGCATGCATGTGGAAAGTTCTGTTTCAGGAATCAGAGCCTCTCAGCGGTCTAAAACAATGACCTGCTTAAGTGATTTCCTTCCACAATGCACACGCTATCCTGTAATTACTGAGTAGAGCTGCTGCAGGAAGCTCAGCTCCTCCATGACTCAGACACAAAACACACAAGGTAATAAAATCACACTGTTAACATACACAAACCCAGGATATGGTGATAATTACACTTTACTGAAAGGGGACTCAAAGGAAAGCTTTTAAAGTGCAGGAGAAACACAACTGTTCACTAAACGTGACGACAATGAAGACAACACGACAGTGACACTTAGTGGTCAGCTCTGACAGCTGCACCACCTGTCACACCGATCAGGTCTGCACACACCTGGGCAACATTTCCTTCTGGAAGGACAAAGAGGCAAAGATGGCATAAACACGGGGCTGCACATCATTGCACACATGTCCAGGACTGCACTGCTCTGTTATTATCAGCATGTTCTAAACACGGCATGAAAACCCGTCAGTTGTTCTACAAAGCAACAACAAGA